GGTTCCTTGTTTGTCCCATATTGATATCAACTTCTTCATATATTGTATCATGAAATGAAATTAGATACCATTAGGCATTACCATATATTCCACCTACCTACCCATATTCCACAAAACCAGTCTAAATGTCTCATACATGGTACATAGTTTTATAAGTTATAGAGAGTGTACTTAGGTCCGAGGTACAGCTTGTGATATTGATTGCTTTATAAATAAACAACAGTTAATTGTGATGGTGAAGTCCAGAGTAAAGTACTTGTATTCATGCCCCACGTCCCACCTATTGACTGTTACAATCACATTACTTGAATTTCTGTTTGGGAAGTAGCTTGATATATATACATTAGAAAGATAATCTGGAAACATATTTGTGGTTTGCCCTTGCATTATCATATCAAATGTCACTGTCCTACATGCAACAATATTTTAATATGTAATCCAGAACTTATGACTGACATCAAGGCTTTGGTAATGAATGATTCATAAGTAACATACCACTGATCAGCTGATCCTTTTTCTTGTATACTAGCATTACATTATAATATAAAGTTCCTGTTTAAGGCCCAGAACAAGCTTTCGTTCCAAAGCAATTTTGTTTACCCGGTAGTAATACACACATTTGAAAAAGAATAACGTGTGTATTCATCTACATTGTATACATGCACCCACAGGTTTATCTATCTTTTAGTATAATACATTTAAATGTTAACTGTATTTTGAGTAGTCTGCAGGTAACAGGCAAAACATACGTTGAAAAATTGATATTGAAGCCGTGCAGTTATCCATACCTGTAAAGGAGTTAACTGTTCCTTAATCATTTTCTTGATAAGGAATGGCAAAATTTGCATGTCAGGTTAGACGATTATCCATGCTTCCCTGAAGTGTTAACAGTGCTTGAACACTGCATGTTAATGGCCATGATATCATGTAACACGTGGGAAGGTCATGTCATGGTCGGATACCTTCCGGAGGAACAGGTGTTGTCAGGTACAGGTGTGTGCAGGTGAGAGAACAGGCAGAAAGGTACATGTACTGTACGTTTCATTTCCAACATTCCTATTATCACTAGATGTTATACTGAGGTTGGTCTAAGACTTAGGATCTTTGTTAGACTCAGTGAATAATGTCAACAGTGGTCCAATTTTTCTTTGAATTCAGTGTATATATTTACTGTTCCTTTCTTGTTCAAAGACTTCCCTAAAAATGACTTCCTGGTCATACATTGTATAATTGGTTATAACTTAGGTTTGGGGATTGTGTGGTATGTTTATAACTCATAAGTTAATCCTCCTTGGAACTAATGGAAGTCTTATTTTTACGATCCTCTTTCCTTGAAAATGGCTTTAGTTTATTTTTAGTACAGACTTTAGCTCATTCCATGCAAGTTGGTTTGAAATATGTGATTGCCTGTGCATTGTAGGCTTAAAAATGAATAGGCTTACTAGTAAATGTTGTACATACGTTCCCTACTACTGTAGTACATTGTAAGACATCACTAGAATCAACAGATGTCTTTTCATGTACATTGTATGAGGTTATTGCTCAGTGAATGGTTGTTAATTGTACTCATTGATAAATGATTGAATTGATGTTGAGAGCATGCGCAGACTGGCCAAGGTGACACATGCATTAACTCACTGTAAATGCAGAAACTTTCACTGTGCTTTTACGTTCACATTTTTGCTGTGACCTCTTATCACAAATCATATGATGTGTTATATAGTTCTACCGAACTACAGAAGAACTACAAATACTACAAAAGCCTTATTTTAACACACAACTGCAAAATAAAAGCACCGCAAAGATATATGTAAATGCTTTTACAGTATCTGTACACTCAAGAGGTTTCTTGGAATTCATTTTTTTGTACAAGGACAAATGTAGAAACGTGCTTAAAAACATGTCTGGTAAGGAAAACCTAGTCTCTACCAGACTCCTTTGCAGGCTGAATAAATAGTAGAAATCGGCAAAGGGGGAAATCATTGGCCAGAGGAGTTGGCCGGCCATAGAGGGTCCAGTTTGCCTGCACGTTTTATTCAGCCTGCAAAGGAGTCTGGTAGAGACTAAGGAAAACCCCTTGCAGCACAACATGTACAATATTGTACCATCCCTGGGTTAACCTGGCAGGTGATGTGTACATGCCAATGTCACCTGTTGCATAGCAACTCCTGGTCAGTTATCTGGAATAATTGCTTTACAATGTAGACCAGGGTTGGACAGGACAACCAGGGACATTTTCCTCAGGTCATGAAACAGGTGTGTAGATTTTTCATCTGTCACTGTGTAGTTTCACATTTTGCCCTCTAAAAGCTTTAGAGGCACCCAAAGCAATTTCAGGGCGGTAAAACTTACTAAAAGTGGAATTTCAAAGTCTATTTTCTGGTCATTTTTTTTAATATAGTACATGTAAGTATCACTGTAATCAACCCTATCCCATAGCATGTTGATAACTGTGAGGCCTCCTGTCTTGTCATGGTTGGGTGGACCTAACTGTAAACTGAGTGGGGGTCTACAGTCTGCAAACCAAACAAGAGGTGGGAGTTTCTGGAGCAGTTTATAAGTAGGTTTTAAAGGGTTTTGAAGTGACTGCACGGCTGTTTGAGAAGGTACTTAAAGACACATTACCAGTCATGCTCTGACACTACAAATACAAACAGAGCAGAACATAGCAGGATTTAACTTCCAATACTGCACAACACTGTATAAATAACTGTAATTAACTTTTACTCTTGTCAATATATTCATGTATGTACAAATGTAGAGGTAGAAACAAATGGCCTGTAGAAACAAATAGAGTAGGCAAGACCCTGGCAAACAATGAAGTGATGTGAAATACAGTGAACATCATTCAATTCACATAAACCAGGTTCTCTAAAGCAATAGCAGAGAGGGAAATCAAATTGTGGGGAAGATTGACTAGACCAATCTCCCATTGATCTACATGTACCCTTTAATGCCAGTCCAATCTTCTGAGTAGATGATATCATTGTGGTTACCTTGCCTTTACTGTGTTGGGCCTCATTTTGAGGTTGACCTTGTGGGTGACCTTGCCTCTGTTGCAGTATGAATCAGGTACATGTATGGATCTAGGCCACCTTTCAGGGGAGCTTCCAATGGAATTCTCATACTTAAACTGAGGAGGAATATAAAGTAGTGAGGCGTTGTGTTTAATGGCAAGTATATGTCAGGTTAGAGACTCTGAGGCAGAAACTCTGATCAGGATTCTGTTAGTGTGTTAGGGTGGTTTCCCATTTACAAATCCTAAATTTCAAGTCAATCCAGTGATCTAATTCTAAAGTGTCACCAATTAAAGTTGAAAAGTTCTGACCGTCTTTTATGCAATTGTTCTTAAAATTTACAGACTCGGTAGAATCGCTGACAGAGATTCCGATTGGAGTTTCTGACAGAGAGACTGATCAGGATCTCTGGTAGAATCACTAATTCTAACAGATTCCACCCTGACATGCACAATTTGATACATGTATACTTGATAATTATAAGTTTTTTTTCTTTTTAGTTTTATCACAATGTAAGTCACAGTAATGACTTCAGTGCTCATAAAAGAAAGACATGGCATTGTGTAGGTCATCAGGATTATTGCAATAAGACAAATATGAGCCAAGCTGGCCCACCTTTACGACTTCTGGCGGTCATGAAGTCTGATTAATCTGTCTCCCGTCTTCCCCGGGGCCTGGCATAAAAAACCATGCCAGACTCACTTTGATGGAAATTTCTTTTGATTTTCATTATATAATACTTGTGTGTACATGTC